TCTACCTTAGGCAGTCAAGCCATATGGGCAAGTTTGGACAGTCCCTCCTTTCAGTCCTGGGAAGGAGGCAATGACAAACCACTTCTGCAAAATCTTGCCAAGATAACTGCAGGGAATTGTCAAGGTACCCTGTTTCCCCCAAAATAAGACCTCCCTGGATAATAAGCCCAATTGGGCTTTTGAGCATATGCGCTAAAATAAGCCCTCCCCCTAAAAATAAGCCCTCCCTGAAAATATTGCAATACAGCAGCAGCCATGAGGTGATCACACTTGCCGTTTCCTGCACCTCAAAAATAATAAGACCTCTGCAAAAATAAGGCCAAGCACTTATTTCGGGGGTCAAAAGAAAATAAGTCCCTGTCTTATTTTCGGGGAAACACAGTGGTTGCCAGGAGTCAACAATGATTTAAAGACCACCACCAAAAAAGAAACACACAAACAAACAACCCCGGCAAAGCAGATAACAATAAAGACCTAGCAATGGTTAGGAAAGAGACAGACGGACTAACTCTGGCTGCCCAAGACCAAACTTTAAGAACATACAAAACCACAATTGGAAAGATAGCAACTGAAAGTAAATGCCACCTTTGCAAAGAAGCTGAAGAAACAGTGGGCCACTTAGTTAAGTGTTGCAAGAAGATTGCACGGACAAACAACAGGCATATGACAAAGTATTGACAAAGGAGCACTGGAATATTTGTAAGGAATACCACTTGCCTGCAAGCAAGAACTGAAGGGACCACAAAATAGACCATAGAAAATAAAGAAGCTAGCAGGACGTTAGAATTCAAACAGATGATCACTTGCCATATAGCACCCCAGATTATTTATAAAAAAGACAAAAAGTCTGGATGGGGTTAGGATAGCAGTAAAATGGCAAAAGAAATCTACCAATAGTTAATAGGATCCTTAGATGCAACCCCAAAACCTCTGAAACACCACTTGAATGCCATCAGCATTGACCAAATTACTATGATCAATTTTAAAAGGCTGCTTTCCTTGGAAAAAAAGGTATATCTTATGATGATACCTTTAACTCCATCAGACAATATCTGCCTTGAGATACGTAGATGACAAATGACAAATCCAATCTAAACAGATGGTTGACTATGCCACCAATCAAAATAATAATACAGAAACAACACTATCCCCACACATAAAAACAAATTAACTCGCAGCAGAATCATACTCTTATTCCAGAGAGACCTCTCTTACTCCAGTAGAGTTTTTCCAAAGTTAGGACAACATTATGTACTTAGTTGTTAGTGATTACAACATTTAAATAAAAATGGATTGTGAACATTCAACACCAAGGGATTCAAAATTTCAAAATATGTAAGTTTCAACCTGTGTATCTGTTACTTGTAGCCATGAGCTGAGGAAAGCAAGAGGAAAGAAGTGGATAAAAGTACGATTTTTGTAACACCTCTGAGAAGTCCCAAGGTTCTAGAAATACTAAAATATTCTACCTTTTACTCCTCAAATCTAGAGCAATTAAGAATTTGCCTTTTGCAAATACTGTACCAAGACAAGTTGATAATTTATGGCATTGTTTTTCAGAAATGATTAGAAAGGAACATGGTAGGGAAAAGAAGAATTTGGCATTCTTACTGGTAGGAACCTTCACAAAGAAAGAAAAAAAAAGAAATCTGCTCTTTGAAGATTTAGGAACCTTCTGGCTTCCAGTTCAGGAAGGGTTAAAACTGCCACATAATACCCACCTCAAATCCCCAGGACACCAAATATGATGCAATGGAACACAAGGACAAAGACACTGGAATCAATTAATTCATTAGCACCCCCTTCCCCATGTTTCTTGCCTGGGGAGAAGCAAATCAAGAAGGCCCAGGGGAAGAGCACAGACCTTTTGTGTCTGGGATAATCATTCCCAGAGAGTGCTTTAGTAAGTTGCTCTGTTAAGGAGATTTGTTGGCATTATTCCATAGCCAGCCAGTCTGGAAACCAGAAGGGTGATGGGTCTGTGGGCTATGCCTAGCCACCATGCAGCAAGGCATGTTCGCAGCTGCAGCAGCAGAAGGCTCTCTCAGACATGCCTTTAAAAGACTACACCAGTCTCTGCGGCCTCTTCCCAAATCCCCATTGGGGCTTCCTTCAAGTTAATAATCTAGCCTCCCCTCTTGGGAAGCCTAGAGGATTTACCTTCCCCTTTTTCCTTACAAGCACAAATTAAGAGAGGGATTAAATAGTAATAGTTAGTGTTCAGCCACCACCCCCTCTGCTTTCCGTGTGACAGCTGAGGGCAAGCAGCTCCTTTTCCTCCAGGAGGAGCACAAACTGTCAATAAACCTAACTTGGGTCTCCTCAGCCGATACTAATGCTTGCCAGCAGGGCATTTCTTAACCCATTGGCCTCTTTCCCAAGGTCAACTGCAGTGGAGGATGAAGGCTCACTGGTGCCCTAAGCACTGACAAATCTTAGTACCCCCTCTTTTGTATATACTATACAAATCTTCACTGGGTTTTTTTCTTTCTCAACTTTGTGGTGTCTCCTTGGGCCTAGTGCCCTAAGCAGTGCTTAGTCTGCTTAATAGTTAATACACCACTGGTCAACTGTTCCTCAATACCTGGATCTTATCAGAGAGTTAGAACTAGGGTGCCTGTTATTTTGGTGTAGCCTAGCTCCATGAACCCCAATCTGAACAGCCTCCTGGCCAATTGCTCACATAGTGGGGGTGGGGGGTGGGGAGAGCAAGCTTATTCAGAGTTTAGGAAAGGGGAAAAAATCAACAGGTGGCCACAGAGCAAAAATACAAAGCTGAGTCCCTCCCCATGTGACTAACTGACATTGTTTTGGGAGGGATCGCTTAGTTTGGGGTGCATACCTCCTTTATACTGGAAAAATGCAACCGCAGGAAAGAGGTCCCATTGGGGAAGCACTTGATCTGTAATTGAATTACATGAACGATTATAACAGACACGAGGTTATTTTTTCATCTGGGCGGTAGGTTGTTTGATATCCCCGGAAAACCAGGTTGAGGGCAGGCTTCTAAGGCGACGAATATCAATCACCCGCCGCGGAGGAGCGAGCTAAAAAGCCACCGGGCGAACGGGTGCCCGCTTCCCCTCCGTCCTTCAGCCTGGCTGCAGCAGGTGCCCCTGCCTGCGTTGGACAGCCTCTTCTGACTCCGTTGCCAAGCGCGTTCCCTGCCAAGAATCACGGTTCTCCTCTGCACCTTGGCGTCTCCCCCCTCCCTCCCTCCACAACTGCCCCCGCATCCCAACGCGGCGGGGGAGGGGAGGGGGGGGAGAGAAGCAGGCAAAAGGGATCTTGTGCCTTTAAGGCCTCCCGCTTGGCGATCCCCGGTCGGGAGCGCACACAGAGTGGGGCGAGCCTTGTGGATCCGGGCTAGAGGGCGTTTACCCTGGACAACGCGGGAGGGAGGGGACGGGCCCAGAGCGAGCAGGCAGGAATGGAGAAGAGACGGCGGCGGCGAGCAGGGGACACGCCGTAAAAAACACCGAGCGAAGGGGCTGGGAGACGAGAGCTGCCGAGCGCAGAGGGGGAACGGCGCCCGCTTTTATCCCCGTTGGCCCGAGAGGAAGGCGGCCCAGCCTTTCCAACGAAACCGCTCGGGCGTTGCGAGGTGAATTGAGGGAACGAACGGCGGGGAGGTGGAACGGGGCGCAACTGCGGCTGCCGAGCGCGCAAGGAGGAGCCGAATGAGCTGACCGAGAGGCGCCCGCCTTACACCTCTGGAGCCTTGGAGCCGAATCGGGGGCGGGGGGTGGGGGACGACGGGGCACAGGCGGCTTTGGAGAGGCCGGGCCTTTTGGCCCATGCCTAATCTTGAGAAGGATGAGAGAGAATGAGAAAGGACGGGAAGAGGAGCCGGGCAGTCCTTAGGCCGCCTCTCCCTCGGCTCTGGGGGCGGCGGGCGGCGGCGGGGGGCTACGAATTGGTTGGGAGAGCCTTGGCTAGAGAGAAGCGTCTCCGTTGGGGCGCACGGCAGGCCGGCAGCTGCGGAGATTGCGAGGAAAGGGGGCGTGAGGACGCACCTGTCCGGTACACACGGGCTCCAGGCCCCTCTGTAAGGCGCCGGAGTTGCTCAGCGCCGGGAAAGTTCCCTGGCTGCAAGCACCCCCCCCCCGACTGAATGGGCTTGTCAGGGTTGTATCAAGTACACCGACGTGGAATAAGTCCCTCTTTTGCTTCGGATGTTTACAGGCGAAAAAGGCCTAAGAATTCGAATTCATTGCGTTAGAAGGGGGGGATAGAGGGGGGAGTCCTGCACGTGTCTGAAATGTATGGCCTGGACTATCGGACCGGAGATCGTCGCTTTTTTGGTGTTCCCCCCCCCAGCCCCCCATATTGGTTTTTCTGGGATGCCTCAGTAAAGGGGCCAAAAAAATGAGGGTAAGCTATGCAACTCTTGGGTCTAGAGGGGTGAGGAGGAACAGGTGGGCTTTCCATAACCTTTTCCACCCTACTCATGTGTTCTTCTCTGTTCTGCACATGCCTCCTACAAAGGGGGGGGGGGAAGGTGAGTGAAGGAAAGAATCCTGCAATGTGGAGCTTTCTCCCCTATGCAATATTGCAGACAAGAGAAGGACCACCACCACCAGAGGGGTAGGAGAGAAAGAATGTTGACCTGTAACCTGCACTCCTTGGGCTTTGGGGAACTTGCTCAGAGGCCTGGCGTGTACTCTGTCACACACACACAGACACACAAAGTCTAGGGTGGTTTATATGTATCCTGACTTTTCTCTGGGAGCTCAAAAGGGTGAAGGGTGTGTCTCCCCCACAAGGACAGCCCTGTGAAATAGATGGGCCCAAAAATAGCTTGGCGGTCCAGGGGAGAATGGGCCGACCCACCCAAGCCCATCATCCAATACTGTACAGATAGGGTCCTCAAAACCTATGGCCACACCTGAGCCCTAAATGTATGTTGCTGAGTGAGAAGTGTAAATGAGTTTCGCCCCATTTTATGACTTTTCTTGCCATATTGGTTAATTGAATCTCTGCAGTTGTTAAATTAGTAACAAAGGGGATCACAAATCCTGGGACACTGCAACTGTCAACAATTGTGAGTCAGTTGTCAAGCATCAGAATGTAAATCACATGATCATGGGAATGGTGCAATGGTCATAAGTGTGAAAAATGGTCATGTCACTTTTTTCAGTGCCGTTATATCTTTGAACGATCACTAAGCGAACTGCTGTAAATTGAGGACAACCTATAATTGCTAAATCAATCAATAAAATCTCTCTCTCTCTCTCTCTCTCTCTCACACACACACACACACACGCACTCTCTCTAACACTTAACACTACTGGGCCCATCCAGCTGTTGTTGCAGTTCTATCAGTTGGTATTCTTATTGTATCATTTGATTTTTTCCCCCTGCATTTGGGGGAGTGACATACTCTTGCTGGGAAAACTGAATTCTGAGATGTGCTATTTTAGTGTTCTTTAGTTGTGGCCTTTTTTCTTTTCCAACGCTTGCATCTGCTTCTTTATTCTGCACAGCACCCCCTGGCCTATATCTCTAGCCTGCCACGAAGCTGTACTTGTGTCTCAGTCTCCCACAGTGGAGATGACTTGGCCAGAGTCCTGATGGGCTAGGATGGGGTTATTCTGTCTGGGTTCAGAGGGGACAGGAAGAGGGGCTGAATTTTGATGTGTTTCCCAAGTGCTTTGTGATAGAAGGGTGCTATCATAACACTGTCCCCATCTCCCAGAATAGATGGAGACAACAGTTCTGTTGAATGGTATTGGAATCATTCTCTGAAGAAGCCGAAGCTAAAACCAGCTCTGGTTTTGGCTGACAGTCAAGACAAATAGAGTTTGAAAGGAGAAAACTATTCCAGTTTGGTTTCATGCTGAATTGCAAGTTTAGGCTGGCGAAAGGGACAACGTTGGGAGATGCTTTTCCCTTCACACGAAGGCAGAAGTTCAAAATTCATTGGCTCACACACTGGGATAAATGCTAGAGAAGAACATGGGCACAACATAGGGAGACTTGAGTTATTGGGTTAAGGTGCTAATCCAGGCCTTCTGAAACCCTGCCTTATAACCCTGAGAAGGACAAATCAAGGTGTGTAAGCGTTTCTTGTGAATAAAATGAAGGAGCTGTGATCCATCCAGTTTGGATGGATAGCCAGTTCTCAAAATATGATTGCATTTTATTCTTGCTTGAGCTTTTTGAGACAAAGCTGGAGTGACCTTTGTTCAGTGTTCCAGTTCTGCCTTGCAAACGTTGCTTCTGTCTTCCTGAGCATCCCAATCTATAGCTTGAGAATCCTGGGGATAAGGATTTGAATATTGGTAGAGCTGTAGTTATAAGGATCCTTTCACCTCTGGTTGCTGTTGTCTGTTACAAAGATCAGATGAACTAGCAAGTGAAGGAGGTGGGATAGGGAAGAGCCTTGGTATCCTCTGGATTCTACAGACTGTTTTTATATCACAACCAACCTTTCCAGCCAGGAAATATTTCTTTTTTACGGATCTCAATTCCAAGAATTCCCAGATAACAGCCCTTGTTGAAAACTTGGGGAGGTGACACCCACAGTAGCCAGGTTGAAGAAAGCTATAATAGGTTTGGTGATCTTTTCTAGCACAATATGTTAGGGGGGAAAAGGTTTGCTTTTTTGGAACAGGAGATTTATTCCAGGTATTAGTAAATTTATTTCTCTGTGATTACATTCGTTGAAGACTAGTTCATCTGTTGTCTGGGCAGGGCTGACAATTGGTTGCACGCTCATCCTCTTTTACAATGGGAATAAATGATCATTAGTTTCTGTGAGAGAAAGTGAAAGCATGTCGGTTGGACAGCCCCTTTTTTTAGAGCTTCTTGCCTGTTATGGCTTTAGAAGAAGGTAAATGTAAAGGTTCCCCTTCCACATATGTGCTAATCATTCCTGACTCTAGGGGGCAGTGCTCATCTCCATTTCAAAACCAAAGAGCCAGTGATGTCTGAAGACATCTCTCTGGTTATGTGGCCGGCAGGGCTAAAGACTGAAGGTGCATGGAACGCTGTTACCTTCCTACCAAAGGTGGTTCCTATTTTTCTATTTGCATTTTTTACATGCTTTTGAACTGCTAGGTTGCCAGAAGCTGGGATAAGTAACAGGAGCTCACTCTGTTATGCGGCGCTAGGGATTCAAACTGCCGAACTGCCAACCTTTCTGACCAACAAGCTGAACGTCTTAGCCACTGAGCCACTGTGTCCCTAAGAAGAAATGGGACCTTAAATTTAAGATGGCATCACCCTAGATATTAAAAAACTATTGTGTGCACTACAGGCAGTCTTTGGCTTAGAGCTACAATGGAGTCCAAAGTTTCCATTAATAAGCAAGGCAGTTGTTAAGTGAGTTATGCCCCATTTTACCATCTTTTTGCCCCAGTTGTTAAGCAAATCACTGCAGTTTTAAGTGAATTTTGTGTGATTGCTAAGGGAAACTGTCTTCCTGCGTTGACTTTGCTTGTTGGAATGACCCCAGAACAACTGTAAATACATACCAGTTGCCAAGTATCTGAATTTTGATCGCATGGCCACAGAAATGCTGCAGTGGTCATAAATGTGAAAAATGGCCACGAGTCACTTTTTTTCAGTGCTGCTGTAACTTCGAATGGTCATTAAATGAATAGTTATGTCAAGGACCCTGTTTACCCTGT